ATTTTATGATTTATGTCAAATATATGACCTCAAATTTTATTCTGGCCATTGCCAAAGACCTCAATCGCTACGCGATTTCGGTCTTTTAACAAAGAACAGAATAAAATTTTCGGTCATATATTACGCCATAAATCATAAAATTTCTGTCTTTATGCCTTAATTAAATGTTTCGAATAATGGAAGTTTTTCAATAATTATTTTATTTGTCATTTATGACAAAATAATTTTTAAAATATTTGGGATGTGCTTCCCCAATTACTCAGATGCGAGAAGGCAGTTACCAGTTTCGCCACCAGGTGGCTGATTCGGGGGAAATAACATGGCAGGGTATTACAGAATTCCCTTAACCTTGAATTTGCATCAGTTTTAGTGGTTCACGTTTCATATTACCCTTATGTATGTGATAGTTATACAAATTTAAATATGTCCAGTAAAAGAAAATATTATCTGCCCAACACCAGAAAAGATATTTCACTTTTTGTGGTTTTACAACATGGAGTCTATGGGGAATCTCCCCGACTTACAGTGGGGGGCATAAAGAATTACAAAACCTATGGAAATTACATGTTGTCGCATATGTAATAAATTCTTACCTCAGTGTATTCAGTGCTCTATTTTCTCCGTCATAGTAAGTCCAGATATAGTGGAATTTGTGTCCATAATGACAAATAAGAACTTAAAAATTTGATGTGGAATTCACATGTTAATGCCGACTCTTCAAATCTTGAGGTGATTTTGGAGCCAGATTACGCCGCAATGTGGGTTGGCTCCCAGAATGCAACATGACACGTGTCAGCTTTCAAAATGCCATTCCGCCGTTTTGAAATACGTCACGAATAAATAAGGTTACTTGATGTTGCATTCTGGGAGTCAATCCTCCTTGGATCACAAACATGGCGATTCATGAAAACATTAGTCCGATTTGGTAGGGATTTATCCATCATTTGCAGGTATGAGGCTTTGGATTCATTTATTGTGCTACTTAAAGTGGATGGGAATTATTTTTCTACCACTTGGGAGAGTTTGAGACATGAAACTTAGAATTTAGCTCATTGTGACAACTTTTGAGGGTTGAGATTTATTTTTGTCCCCCACTTTAGAAGTCACATTTTCAAAGAGAATTAAATTTTCAAAGTTGATAAACTCTTTTCAAAACCACATTTCTAGATGTAATTTTTATCGTACCTAACAAGAGGTCAGCTTGACGGGCGGCGGGCGGCGTCTCACTTTTCAACTTGTCTACAGGTTTCCAGCCAAACCATTTGAGGGATTCATCTGAAATTTTCAGGGATGTTTCTACATATCAACGTCAAGAACTGATTAGTTTTTGGGCATTCTGGGTAAATTTTAAGGTGGCCATTTTGGATTTTCCGTCCTAAAATCTTCACTTTCAAGACTTGTCTACAGGTTTTCAGCCAAACCATTTGAGGGATTCATCTGAAATTTTCAGGGATGTTTCTACGTATCAATGTCAAGAACTGATTTGTTTTTGGCCATTGTGAGTAAATTTTAAGGTGGCCATTTTGGATTTTCCGTCCTAAAGGCTAAAATCTTCACTTTCAAGACTTGTCTACAGATTTTCAGCCAAACCATTTGAGGGATTCATCTGAAATTTTCAGGGATGTTTCTACATATCAACGTCAAGAACTGATTGGTTTTTGGGCATTCTGGGTAAATTTTAAGGTGGCCATTTTGGATTTTCCGTCCTAAAATCTTCACTTTCAAGACTTGTCTACAGGTTTCCAGCCAAACCTTCAAGTTCAAATTTTTACATATCTTACACAGTGATAAGTTCTAGAGCTGATTAACTTTTCTGCGGCCATCTTGCTTTCTTGGTCAACAAGACCACAATGCTGTGTTTTAGGTACGATATTGTTCACGTCTGTGCCTTGTTATATGTAGATTTCAAATATGCCATCAGTAGGACTCAATTGTGAATTTTTAATGACGTAAATCAAGATTATTTCTACTCGCATCCATTCTGATACTCATACTCTTTCTGTTTCACCTCAGGGCTAAGAAGAAATGAGATGTCATGGTTTATCATGATGACTCGCATCTAGGATATTGGAATAGATATACAGGGCGTTCAATAAGTATTGCTAATTTTGTAATAACTTTTGTTATCTTGCTCTTTTCTTCATGAAACTTGCACAACCTAAGGAACACATATCTGACCTTATCCTATCCAAATTTCCGGACAACCGACTTAGTATTGACAAAGTTATTGTTACTATAGTAACCATTGTCACGGGTACGCGGGGCAACTTTAAGGGTTTTCATGATAAACTATTGATATACGTCAAATAAACACTTTGATTAATAAACACTGCTCATATGGTCAAATCTTTATGTTGTCAGTTTGAATTATATGTATTATCTAACAACGAGCTATGACATCACAATATGTATGGTACATTAATTATCTAAGGAGTAGATGATAGTCGCATGATGATGTCATACCCCATTGAAACAAAATGGCTGAAAGAAAGGCTGACCTGCCAAGCAAAATCGACCTATAGGTTCCACCAGGATGATGGCCTGCTCACAGATCCTCTATTGTCCAAAATACAATAACAGAGCTTGGGATGGAATCATTGCTCCACGCAGCATATTCCCCAGATAATGTCCCACTTGATTTTGCTGTATTCGCCCCAGTGAAAAGAGATCTGAGAGGCGTCAACGCGGTAGCCTGACGTCCGTCAACACCAGGGATTGGTTGTACATAAACATTTTAATTGTTTTTCTTATTATTGTATGTAACATAATAATCTCAACCCCTTATGTAATATTTTATATAACACATGTAAACACACCAAGTCTGGTGGATAAAATAAACATAAATATCACACCAGAATCTCAATCAACTGATGTCTGAGTGAAAACCTCCCTAGCCACACACTTCAAGGGTGGCTTCAAAAATGTGTACCACGAGTGGGTCCCCAGACTGCAACTGTGCATCGACGCTGAGGGTGCCTCTTTTGAGCACCTAATGAAGTGAAAATAAATCATGAAGTGACTCTGGAATGGATTATTTGTAACTGTACTGAATATCCCAAGAGTATTACATGATACTGCTTTCAATACTCAAAATGTTGTCCAAAGTGACATCAGAACTTTGCCCCGCATATCCATGACACTGGTTACCTTAGTAACCATAACTTTACTAATACTAATTCAATTGACTTGAAATTTTTATTAGTCAAAGTCAGATATATGTACCTTATGTTGTGAAAGTTCCATGAAGAAAAAGCAAAGAGAACAAAAGTTAAAGCAAAATTAGCAATACTTATTGAACGCCCTGTATAATGAATGTTTTGCCAGCTGTATATTTAATTAATTCAGCAAGTGAAAACATTTAATAATTTTATCCATATCATTGATACAATTACAGGAATGTCTATTATACTAATGACAAATGAGTTATATATATAAGTTCTTTTGTTGTACAAGGGACATATAGAAATCATATATCTGGTTGTACTTATTAAGGGATTGTCTCCAAAGTCGAGGAAGAACAATGTTCATTTTGTTAGGTGGAGGGGGGCAAATGTTGATTTTGAAAGTAAAATATAAACTTTTGGACCTGAGACTGTCTATGAGCATATAATGCTTTTTGTTCAGAGGTCAGAAATATATCTTGTGTAAAAGCCGAGTGTAAAGTTTGAATCACTTTGGATCACAGTTTATTGTAGACTTACCAAATAAAAACATTGCATTGCATTTATATCACACTTTATTTTTCAACAACATTTCAATACCATCCCTTAGTATTTTCTATTGATTTTCTACATTGTGATTAGTCAGTCATCAGTATCATTATGTATTATTTTTTATGTTATTATTAGTATTATGTTGTCAAGTGCACGTACATTCATGCAATTTTATTTTTCATTTGAGGTCTATGTCAATTGCACAGTTGAATACCATTTGTTTGTTGACATTCAACATTTTAATATTGCTAACAAGTCATATGTACATAGGCATTGATATAGTATTAATGGTTTAAAGCACATCAAGTGCATTTAATTTTTATGATTATTTCATTAATTGGCCAACTTCAACCCCAACTTCATGTTAGAAGTTGAAGATGAGGTTGCATAGGCCTAGGCCATGAACTATCAAAAATGAACCATATATTTTGTTTTTTGCATCTTAAAATGATTGCGCCATATGTATTATCCCATTTGTGAGATGATAATTTTACTTGCTAATTCGATCTAGCTAAATTTCATGTAATGCCAAGCAGCACAATAAATGAAGCATCACAATTGGCCAAATGATTCGCAACAAGATGCCACAGAACCTTCGACAAATCCCAATATTCAATTTTAAAGCACAATGCTCCCTCCCTCTGTTTGACTTTTCCCTACTTAAAGCAAACATAATATTTCAGCCCAATGCACTGTTTTACTGATATGCCTAATAGCATATTACTTATTAATACACACATTATTCTTCAAGGAAATAGATCATTTAAATGGGTTTTCATGTTGTGTAGAAGCAATCATGTATCCACTATTGATGCAATAAATTAAAAATATCTTGCAAAATTATTGATTTTAGGATTAAATATGATCAAATCATTTGGACTTCCCATATGGTGGTCTCTCTTGGATAAAAACAAAGTATTAAAATGTGTGAATATGTTTGTGAAACATGCGAAACAATAAGCATGTCCATATATAATCACTATATAGGACATAAATAATATTGAAAGTTGTTTTTGATGAATATTAATCCTCTTGTTGATCAAACAAATTGGGAATCTCTTTTTGTTTATGTAACTCATTCCTTTGATCATATTTTTGATCCTTTTTGATCATATTGTTGATCCTTTTGATCATATCATGACCAATTGATCACATTTATAATCTCTTTGATCATCAATGTGGACAAGATATAGCTTTATTATAATGTATAATACTGTTTAACATTCTGAGCCACAAAATAGCCAATCAATCCAAAGGATTTGGTATAAATAGGCAAACATTTTCCAAGAAAGTCATATCTTAGAAATTAACAAACAAGAGTAACATCATTATATCAGAGTCTATCAAACATCAAAACATGGCAAGCAACAGTTACCAGGGACTAGATGCAGTAGTATGTCGGACACCAATGGCTAACCGCAACACAAGTCTACTTATCCCAGATCTTGATTCACCATTCTCAATACGCAGATTGCTTGGTCTTCCTGAAGAATCATCACCAGAGGGCGAACCAGCTTACCAGCCACAGACTGACCAGGTGTCACCGATGAAGTTCCCATGTGGGTTGCCACAAGATAATTCCTGTGTGCTACCACTGAGGAGTTACTATGAAGCACCGCAAGTCAATAGCAGCCAGACAACCCAACAGCGACAAGGGACCTACAACAATCCATCCCGAGTGCACTATCAAGGGCTACCAAAAGTGGATTATCGACAACAAAGAGGTGTAATGAATCAACTATCGCATAACCCAGCATTCTATGAACTCTCAGCTGCACTAGCTGGTGACATGACAACAACAAACACCCCATCGCTGCTCTTTCACAGCATAGCACCTCAGATGACAGTGCCTCCCACTCTGAGAGCATCTATGTTGGATTTACGCTTTGGTATGCTGGATATCCAACATTGTGTCTCGTCCAATCAGCTTTTGTCATTCTACCGTCAACATACGGCAACTATAGAGCATGAACGTTACCAAGCACTCACCACATCTGGTGATGTGTACTATCAACAGAGCGTGCAACTACATTATGATAAACAGCGACATCTACTGATGGACCGTGTTGAAGAAAGTCTCAAACTTCTCGAGAACTCTACAAGTTGCCAGTCAACAACTTCAACTAAGATGGCTGTCTATGAACCACGACACAGTGACGGTCTCTATGGATATACACAACAGACCCTTCAAACCCAGCCGCCTGCCCCATCAAAGCCAACTACGGGAAAGATCCAGAAGACTGGTCGAGTCTACCGTCGTCTGAACTTCTCAAAGGACACCACTTGTGTGCTGATGGACTGGTACCTCAAGAACACTCACAATCCCTATCTCAGCTCTACTGAGTGCCGAGCTCTTGCTGTAAAAGCCAAGGTGTCCCCAGCACAAGTGCGTAAGTGGCTGGCTAATAAACGTAATAGAGACTGTAAAAGTCAGCGCCTCGATATCCCTGTGTCACAGAGATCACATACCAGCCATCCAATCAGGCATTTGGACACTAGTAGAGAATCTGTTAACCTTGACTAGATCTGGACAAGTAGTGTTTTAATGCATTTAAACAATGTATGTATATAATATAATGAGTGTACTAAAATGTGTATATGAACTATACATATCAACTCTTATTCTCAGTTAACACTAATTGTTTATTTCTGTTGATCTGAAAATAATTTTGAAGAATTTGTTTTTGTTATAAATTTTTTTTATGAAACTTAAATATGTTCAATACAGCATATTACTATTGTAAATACATGTACATATTGTAAGTAATCAATCTGTAAATATATAAATGTTGATATATTGAAACTTATTTTCTGTTTGAATTAAGAAAACTTGTAGTAAGCAGGGTGACGTAACATTACAATAATCACCTTGTTGTTGAATAAATAACAATCAAACTCATTGTTTAAAACATTGACTAAACACGATAACCAAATGAGGACCTAATGATATATTTTATTATTCAGTTGATCATAAGAATTATGATCATACATGTACTTAAAGATCATATCAAGATCTGTTTCAAGTTTCTCATTGGAATATATAAACATTAACCTTAATAGTCCCTGTGTCCATTTTATATTGAAGTAGTTAATACACATATTTTATATTGAAACATTTTGAGATGATGCAAAACCGGTATTAAGGTATTATTTCCAGCTCAAAGCTACATACAAATCTACATCCAAAATAACATCTTTAGATCTGGTTTGTGAAACCACGGTCAAAACCTGAACATGAAAGAATGTGTAACGTTTGTGGAGAAATAGACAATGAAATTCATTTCATGATAAATTGCCAAATACATCAAGAAAATAGAAAAGTATTGTTTGAGAACATCAACAGCAAAATTAAATTTGATAAAAACCATCCTGAAAATGCATTCATAATGTTCATGTCTTCAAAAGATAAATATGTCCAAAAGCAAGTTGGCATTTTTATAAATAAAGCATTCAAGGTCATTGAACTTGTCTGAAGAACATTCTTGATGCATCACACTGCTTTAGTATTATGTATAGTTTAATACATGTTAATAACATGTTTTTGTATATACTGTATTTGTATAATAATAGTGTAGTGTAGTGTAGTAAGCTTTTATTTTTGTACTGACTAATATGTCATACCATGACATTCTAAGAGTCAATAAAAGATATATATATAAAAAACTGTTTATCAACTTTGAAATTTTAATTTTGTGTGAGAATGTGACTTCTAGGTCAGGTAGATTCCCATAGACCCCATGTTATAAAATCATGAAAAGTGAAATATCTTTTCTTGTACTGAATAGTAATAATGATTTATTTTATGGAAATTGCATAATTATTAATTAAACTCAAAAGGGTAGATGAAAATTGATTCTTTAAATCTATCTTTAATTCAAGTTTGAAGAATCTTTTCCTACTTCTCATGTGTTATCTGAAACAAATGGTTGCCTGGGTTTGAAATTCGTAACTTTCTACAAGCAACTAAATAATTTGATTGAATGTCTGTAATAGAAGATGATGGATCGGTGAATTAAAGTCTTCATTCTTTTATAGATGGCAGTATGATATCTCTAGCATATATTCCTGAGAGACCCTGTAGTGGAAAATTCTACCTTTGATTACCATCTTGACTTCAAATAAGGTAAGTTAGTAACTTTTTCTACATGTTTCACCATTATGTTGTTAAGATAACGTAGGTGAGTTCTTTGATTCGTGAAAAATCTGTTGAATGTTTTTATTTCAACTTAGATCATGTCAATTATAGCTCGAGACTTAGTTAATTTTGGTCAGCAACACTTATAGTGGTTAGTTATACATTGATATTACTTTGTAGAAAACAGTTCAGAATCAAAATAGTGCGATTAAATATTAAAAGGACATTTCCTCTATTTCTCTTTATTTTAAGAATTTTAAAATAAAAAAAATTCTATTTAGGAAATGTATTTGAATTTTTATAATGTTAAGTAAGAAATACACATGATGTTATATTCTCCAATATCTGTATGTAGAGCCTGTTGATGACTGTAAGAGCACATTTACATTAGTTGTAAGAAATTATCACAAGAATCTTGTCCCACTTAACCCAGTTATACAGTACCCATGAAACTTTTACTCATTGTGAAATATATTGCTTAAGTCATGGGTCATATTGCAAAATCTGCTTAAATCTTTCAACAATTCACTTATCTAAAAGAAAAGTCTAGATTATCTCATCTTGAAGTGTATATACTTTACCAACCATTCAATAGTCTACTGTCATACATTTATGAGTTAATTAAATGGAAAGATTACATTTTTCAGATTTTTTCCAAAATGAAAGCCTTAATTGGTACATGTATTTATGAAGCATACATAAAGGGTAACATTCCATAACAATCAAAAAAGCATAAAGTAAATCTATAGAAACAAACATTTGTTTACAGGTAATTCAATACCCTGAGTCGTAGGGACTTAATAGTAATTGCCACACTCTGACCATGATAGAGAATTTTGCAATTTTAATGCTTATGATATTTAATGACCCCTAGAAGTATATGAAATAAATAGTTATAATACTCGTAAAGGTAGTTGTGTTTTTTCAAGCCAACTTCCTCAGCTGATGAAATATATATTCTTATTTAAAAAAGTGTAAATGAAGATCTCTTATAAAGGCATTGAAGAGGCAAAAATCAAACAATAGCAAAGGGTTGTTATACAGTGTCTGTGTAATATCAATAGAAGATAGGTTTAGTGCTTGGAGATAACACTTCCCAATAATCTTGTTCTATGGTATGTATAGTTTGGTGTATATATTGTACATGTATATATGAAGTGGTCATATCTTTATTGAAGATGTATGATAAAAGTCTAAGGTGAACATGAATGTTCCTCCTCTCTGTTGGTTTTTAGTGACAATAACTCAGATGCGAGTAGGTAGTTACCAGTTTCACCACCAGGTGGCTCATTCAGGTCAGATAGCATGGCAGGTATCTTAGAAAGTTCCCTTTAACATGAGTATTCATCAGTTTTAATGGTTCAATTTTCATATCAACGTTATGTATCTAATAGATAAAGCGAATTAAAATATGTCCAGTTAAGGAAAATATGATCTTATCTGAAAGAAAAGATATTTCACTTTTTGTGATTCTATAACATGAAGTCTAAGGGGAATCTCCCGAACAAGAAGTCACATTTTCCAAAAAAATAAAATTTTCAAAGTTGATAAACAAATTTTGAAACCATATTTTTAGATGTACTTTTACATGTTAATTTCAAATATAACATCACTTTGAATATTTAATGACGTAAATCAAGTTCATTTCTACTCACACCTAGAAGAAGCTAGTCTATTACAATTATTTTTATGTTTCCGCCATAAGTGGTGACATATTGTTATAGTCTCCAACTTATTGTAGATGGTGTTCAGTGGCTGGTGTTTGGCAGTTGGTGTTCGATGGTTGGCATCTGTAACAAATGACAGGCGGTGACATTTTGTTAATGCAATTAATACTCAATTAGAGCAGGTGTTATTGATTGCCACTCCTACCCTGAGCTACACTTCAGGGTAGGCGTGGCACTCAATAAGATAGGTGAGGGCTATATATACTCTGTATGTTAGAAAGTTTTAATGGGAACGATATAATATATATCTTAGATCTGTGATAAAGCATGATAGTTATATATGGATAATTAAGTATGCAGGAATTACATTTTGTTTTTGCTGTGACTGAAATGAGATATTTTGGTGGTCTGTCAGACAAGGCATACTTACTACATTACATAATCGAGGATGTTAGATTTTGTTAGTAATCCTAAATATGATTTCCCTTGGTATTCAAGAATCCAATGTTTGTCAGGAAAATTATTTTAACAAAGGTCCCAAGTGACAGATTTTAATAGTTTTATTTGAGTAAGATATTTCTGTCTCTGTCTCAATGTGATTTTATTTCATTTGATCTAGTTTCATTTTCATGCTGTATTATAGCTTGTTCACTTTTGCAATTTTGACATTTAAAGAATCTTGCTAAATATCCCACCATACCTTATGAAGACCAAGCAGTTCTATTTGGCAGAACCATGTGGCTTTGAATAAATAAATGAGCACTGTACAATGATTATCTGCTGGGAACACCCTTAGGGATGGTGTCAAATTATGAACAGTGTGGAAAAATGAAGTCTGAATCTTTCGTGGTTGTAGATTTAAATTTACTGAAACATATCAAATTATTCCACTTAAGTTTCTTTGTTATTGCCCTTTATACATTTGGGAAGGATGAGATGAGATGGAACATATGAGTCCATTATCCCACTTACCTTTTCTCTATTATTGCCCTTAATACATTTGGGAGTGATGGGATGAGATGGTGCCATTATGTTTTATAGGTTACATCAATTTTTAAAAGCAATTTGTAATATCAGTAAATGTTCAGGTTTGGGGCGGAGGGCAGAGATGTAACTGACCTGTAATAAATTACAATTTGGGACGATTGTAAAATATGCTTTTTATTACGCAAACCCTTACTACTTACCTAATATGCAACTTAGTGCTAACATTCACCATCTAATCTATTTATGGCCAAATTCTCGGGAATTTCGAGCGCATTTCGTTCAGTGTTACCCCCAACACTTGTCACCTAAGAGAAACAATAAAAGAAAACGTCATAGACCATCGAGATTACAGCTGCGTTATTCTTCTTTCTCATCTAGTTCATCAGACTTGTCTAGGTCAGATGATAGAAGAAGGTATTACAGACAAATCGCTTGAAGCTGAAACTCCAAAAGTAAGTTTAAATATGTTGAAACTATAATCCCTGCAAATTTTATTGAGTTCCATGAATAAATAAAAAAGTTATGACATTATTATCTTTATTTCCTAAACACCCTGTAGTACCATGATGTATGACATATTATGATTTTATTAGCTAAACCAAGAATCTAAGTTTAAGTGAGATGAAATCAATCTGACAAGAAAGGTCATGTCAAACTGAACCTGCTATATTGCCTTTTGCTAAGTGCTTTATAATATGAAATAATTGAGACAAGAAAAGATCAGTGAAATGCTCTTGTATTAAGAATGTTACATCAACATTGAAATTGTTTATTTTTATTGGTAACACATATTATGAATATTAAGAACCAAAAATGACCATTTTTAGGTTAAATTCTAAAAATTTAAAGTAAACTAGTAAGTAAATTAGTTTTTATTAGTAAACCATACTTACCTAATATGCCACTTAGTGCTAACATTCAACATCTAATCTATCTATGGCCAAATTCCCCGGAATTTCGAGCGCATTCCGTTCAGTGTTACCCCCAACACTTCTAATATCCCAGAATGCTCCTTGTCAATTATTCCACTTAACATCTTAATAGAAAACTGCTGATTCAGTGGAGGAAGAGGGGGGATTATAATAGTGGCATATTAGTATGGTTTACTAATAAAAACTAAAATTACTTTA